TTTAAATGTGCTTCTGATTACAGATAGCCTGGGATTACACAAGATTTGTATTTTAAAGACAACCAGTTCGAAGGGAGCATAATTTGCTTTTTGGGTTAAAATTATTTCTTAATATGAAATTCGAGTGGTATGACAATTAGAGATAGACCGTACAGAAATTGAAATCTACTCGCTTATACACACTATACTCATAGTCACGCAATGCTGATGTTGTTTTAACATTAACAATGAGAGAATAAAGTATAACAATAATAATAATTTGTACAGTTTGATGTGATATGAGCTCATTTAGATTAAATCACCATTGGTAGCGCGATTTATTGTAATGCTTTTTTTCCTCAGTTGGTCAGAACAAAAGTGGCAGACTTGTTACTTACTTGTTCAGATGACAATATCCAGTGAAAATGCTTATTAGCCGTGCCACCGCACAACCCACGCAAGGAAAATAATTCCGCACACAGCTGCAATAGCAGGTTTTCAAACAGAGATGGCGACAAAGAGGCAAAACTTTAAAGCTTTTAGCTGTGCAGTAAAGGACATCTGTGTGTAATGAGGATTGTGTAGAATGTAATGGCCCACTACGGAACAGTGAAGCTCTTTATGGCCAGGGTTATAATAGCTTATTATAACTACAACTAAAGCCATAAAAAAAAAGATTTGTATTATTTGAAATCAAATAAGAGTTAACTGAAACTATACATATATATAACATATTTCATGTAAGCTAGTTGGTAAGGCAACATTTCTCATTTCCATTTAACTTGATGAACTAAAATAACTACAACTGAAAAAAAATAATAAAAACTATAGATATATATAAAAAAACAAGTTAAAATGACAAAAAAACGACAAAATTACTAAAACTTTAAAATTAAAATTAAAACACCAAATATTAAAATTACAACCGACATCTTGTTTTCCACCACTGAAAATGGGTAATATTCAACAATCTGGACATGGAGCCTCACTGAGATCTCCATATCTCTGGGACTGAAGAATGTAGGGCCTTGAAAATGTAGATTCCAAAAGAACAGTTTAAGAATTAGAATCTAAAATCATAGTGCGATCTTTAATACTTCTTGAGTTATAGGAGCAAAAATTTTGGAAACAGAATATTTATGGCACTCAGACAGGTATGTTCAATGTAGTTGTTTTGACAGAAGGAAACGAAATACATCTCTAGTTTCAACATTATTTGTTCTTCAGACATTCCTCTTTAAAAGAAAAGTATCATATTTATGCAAAGTGACCCACATTTGGTTTTTGACCATTGGAAATGTGTACAATTGAACGATTTACTCCTGGAGCCATATTGAAATTCCAATATCTCTACAAAAGAACCATTTAGGGCCTTAAAAATTAAGATGCCAAAAGGAAAGTTTGTTAAGACCCAGTATCTAAAAGGGCATTAAGATATCTTTAATACTTCTTGAGTTACAGGCATGCAAACTTTGGAGAAAAAAACTTGAAAAGTGCTGTTTCCCCATTTTTTAATGGTCACCATGGCACATAATTTAACAAAGATTGCTAAAGTCAACAGATTTTGCTAAGAGACCTACCAATCTCTGTGTAAAAATAAAATTTTCATGCTGCCATCTTAAGTTATTTTTAACCCCCTGTAATTTGGCACTGAATCACAGGTGAAAATTTCCATTTAGAACCCCCGCTACAAAATAGTGGATTACTCAGTAAATAAGTATCCATGATATTTAATAATTTGGCTTTCCTCACTATACATGTTTATCTTTCTTCAGAAAAAATATTAGCAAAATCAAAAAATTTGAGCCAGGGAAGTTTCTGAAATTTGGTTGATTTGACACAGAATGACCCTATTCAAAAATATTATTAAAACGATATTACTACCTACTAAAACAACACTGTTTATTACACTTCATTAAAAAATAGACCAGACAGCAAAAACTGATCACTGCAATTACCATACCAATTTAGATGTAGGGCACCAAATAACCCAAAACCAGAATAAAAAATGTTTTGAGTACACGATAGATTGTTTCCCATGAATGTATACCTGAGTAAAGAGCCAGGAGAGTTTCATGTGTTTACTGCTGGCGTAGCTGCATTCCAGCAGTCGCGGCCGGCCGTTCACGTCCACCAGGCACTTGTTGTCGTCGTCGTCGATGGTCGGACTCAAGCCTCCGATATGCAACTGCTGAGAGCTTGTGTAGTACACATTCTAAAACAACAGAAGAGAAAAGCATGCTTAATTATATATATTATATATATATATATATATATATATATATAATATGTGCATAACCTGCCTAAACATTTGGACACAAGAAATGTTTCTTGAACAGCAAATCAGCAAATTAGAATGATTTCTGAAGGATCATGTGACCCTGAAGACTGAAGTAATGGCTGCTGAAAATCCAGTTTTGAATCACAGGAATAAATTGCATTTTACAATATATTCAAATAGAAAACAGTTATTTTAAATTGTAATAATGTAAGTACTGAAGCATAGGCCTTATATATTAAGCCCATAATAACAAGAAAGTTGTAATATCATGACATATCTTTTATCATTCTGATCCATTCATTTGGGCCGACTGAATGTCTCTTTGGACAGCACGTGTTATTTAGCTCTGTATTGCCCAGCCAATAAAATGAATTATTCATGTTTGATAATTGTGTCTTTCCTGTGAAATCTCTAAGACGATGTGGCTCAGAGCCAAATCCTAGTGTTGATACCTAGTATTGCATCCTAATGGGCTCAAGAGGGAAGAATAACTTTTTTCTTATCGACTGGCTCTCATTTGTTTATTTCATAACCACCATTCAAACTTGGGCTGAATGCCAATCGGCTACTTCTACAAAGCACTGAAAGTGTGTGTACATGGCTGGTGATGGGAAAGTACATACTTCTAAGTAAGTAGAAAGAAAGTCAGTAATGGGACATTTAACAACTGCACCTTGATACATGTTCTGTTTGTTTCTGTGTAAGTGTTAACACTTAGCTATATAAATTACTTCGCTTTTAGGTGTATACATTTAAAAGATGCAGTCACAAATTTATCTTCAATAGTGCAAGGGGTTGTGGGTAATATTAACAAAATAAATACACTGATGCATACTCCACTGGAAATAATATACCACCTTTAGAGAACTATTTTCACCATACAATGATCTGGTAAGTAATAATCTTAATATTGCTTACAATAAAGTACAAAAAGTATTCAGCCCTGATTTTCGTTCATCGCTTTCACTTATTTCCATTTTCATAACTATAACATTTCTGATGCTTTGTGAAAATTAAAAGATCTACTTACAGAAATTATGTAAAATATTTTCTATAATAATAACAACAACAATAATTATATATTATTTTATAGATATTTTAAAAAGCAAACTCTCTGATATTGAACACTTGCTTTAAATCACTAATGCACATTG